CAGCATTTCTAAGGTTGTTTTCACCCCGTCCCCTTCTAGAGTGGGCTACCACACCACTGCAGTATACCAGTAAGGAAAGAGCATCTAAATCCGTCGTCTTCCGTGATATAATAGGACTTAGAACTTACATGTTGAGCCTTTGTTCACCCATCTGGAAAGTGTGGCCAAGTGACTTGCTCCCGATTACACTCCAAAATCAGTACCCTGAATATATACCATTGCCCATCTTTATAGCTAATACATCTCTCTTCCCTTTGAATTGACAGGAGAGCTATGCCCAAGCAGCATCGGATGCTTCTAGAGGTAAGCAGGCGAGGGGTTGAGACTTCCTACATGCACTAGTGTGTTCTCAGACCTGGTTTTGTGACTGCGTAATACAACCAGTTAAACTCACATTACACTTGCTTCTGTTCTGATTTACAAGCAGTAGATACGTTTTGTATTAATGAAAAGGAAAATGCAACTATTATATATTGTACTCATGTAGCTTTACTGTTTTGTGTCATTCAAAAAATCAGCTATAGATTGCTTTGCTTGGAATGTTAAACACCAGGATTCTGTGTTAGTCCCTATAAAATTCACCCTCTTGACTTTACAGAGAAATGGGAGCATGATTGTTCCATTTACTCACACAATGGGGTGTGGTGGGGCAGTTAAAGCAACAGGGATCATCTCTCCAGGGGGGATGAAAGTGTCCTACCTGGGTCAATATGCCCTTAAAATTGAAGGTTGAGATTCCAAAGGTAGCGAATGCACTTTCCTTGGGAAATGACACACAAAAGGTTAAATAGCATCCTGCTGCTATGCAAGTGCAAGGTGTGTCCATACTTGAAAACTGCTTGCAGGTCTGGTCCCCTCATGTCAAACAAGAGATGTTAGAATTGGAAAAGGTCCAAAGAGGGGGCCTTCCCCTTCCCTGTCCAAGCTGAGATGCTATGCTAGAGGTCACTACTAGGAAAGTGGTGTTACTACTCACATAAGACCAATGAAATCAGTAGGAAGCACATTTAAAACAAACAAAAGGAAGTGCCACATCACACAATGCTCCATCAGCCTCCATGTTGTGGAGGCCAAAACTAAAGTGAGGGTCCAAAATGACTGGCTGTGTTCATGGAGGGCAGGTGCCCCAACGGCTATTAACCGAGATGGTCAGGGACACAGCCCTATGATCTGGGTCCCTTGCATCTGGCTGCCAGACCCTGGGACACGAGGCATTGACTGCAGTTCGAAGACACGATACTGGGCTGGCTCAGGATGGCCACTCTTATGTTCACTGTGGCAAATCCATCCAGCGAACCAATAGGGGGGAAAACTTCTCTGGACAAGGGGGGAGGGACAGACCTTATCCTTGTGGATAAGGGAGAAGCAGTGGACGTAGCATTTGATACGGTCTTGCGTGCAATTCTTATCAATAAACTAGGCAAATACAACTTAGATGGGGCTACTATAAGGTGGGTGCAGAACTGGCAGAATAACTGTTCTCAGAGATATCAGAGGGGTAGCCGTGTTAGTCTGAATCTGCAAAAGCATCTGATGAAGTGGGTCTTTGCCCACGAAAGCTTATGCTCCTACACTTCAGTTAGTCTATAAGGTGCCACAGGACTCCTCGTCGCTGTTCTCAGAGAGTAGTTATTAATGGTTCATAGTTCTGCTGAAAAGGCATAACAAGTGGGATTTCGCTGGGGTCTGTTTTGGGACCGGTTCTGTTCAATATCTTCATCAACGACTTAGATATTGGCATAGAGAGTACGCTTATTAAGTTTGCAGATGCAACCCTTCCCAGCTTCGTGTCAACTGCTTTGGAGGACAGGGTCATAATTTAAAATGATCTGGACAAATTGGAGAAACAGTCTGAGGTAAATTGGATGAAATTTAATAAGGACAAATGCAAAGATCTCCACTTAGGAAGGAACAATCAGTCTCACACATACAGAATGGGAGGGGCCTACTGCAGAAGTCTAGGAAGGAGTACTTCAGAAAGGGATCTAGGGATCATAGTGGACCACAAGCTAAATATGAGTCAACAGTGTGATGCTGCTGCAAAAAAAGAAAATATGATTCTGGGATGCATTAACAGGTGTGTTGTGAGCAAGACACAAGAAGTCATTTTTCTGCTCTACTCTGCACTGATCAGGCCTCAACTGGAATATTGTGTCCAGTTCTGGGCATCGCATTTCAAGAAAGATGTGGAAAAATTGGAGAAGGTCCAGAGAAGAGCAAGAATGATTAAAGTTATACAGAACATGACCTATGAAGGAAGACTGAAGGAACTGGGTTTGTTTAGTTTGAAAAGGAGAAGACAGAGGGGTCATGACTGCGGTTTTAAGGTATCTAAAAGGGTGTCACAAAGAGGAGGGAGAAAAATTGTTCTCCTTGGCCTCTGAGAATAGAACAAGAAGCAATGGGCTTAACTGCAGCAAGGGAGGTTTAGGTTGGACATTAGGAAAAAGTTCCCAACTGTCAGGGTGGTTAAACACTGGAATAAGTTGCCTAGGGAGGTTGTGGAATCTCCATCTCTGGAGATATTTAAGAGCAGATTAGCTAGACATCTATCAGGGATGGTCTAGATCCGTGGTCACCAACAGGTCGATCGCGAGGCCTCGACCAGTCGATCGCGAGGCGTCCTGTCCGCCCCACCCCCATTTCCCTCCCACCCCCGAGAAGCCCCACTACCTACCTCCAGTGAAAATGGAGGTAGTGTCGCCTTCCCGGGGATGGACAGAAGTCCCGCAGCTTAGCACCACCTCCGGCAATTCCAGAAGTGCACTAGCTGCTCCCTGCACCGCACAGGAGGGGTGAGTCAGCCCCGGGGCAGGTGCTCGCGGGGCTTCCCTGTGCCAGGGGGGCGGGGTCGGCCCCGGGGCAGGCACATGCTGGTTTCCCTCTGGGGGCGAGGGAATCCTGGGAGGAGGCAGATACAGGGGACTCTCTGCCTCCACTGGCACCCCACTCCCCAGCCACAGAACTCTGTCCCCACTCCCCTTTCCCCAG